GTTCAGCACCACTTTCCTGTAAGCCTAGAAGTTTGACAATGGTGTTTGGATAGTCAGTGGAATCATGCTTGACGTTCCAAATGCCATTGTCAAACTTCTAGGCTTACAGGAAAGTGGTGCTGAACATCCAACGTACACGTTTTCGTGTTTAAAACTTTGGCTTCAACCTCACTATTAGATGGTTCATTCATTAATGATGTGTTATTTCTGATATATTTGTAATTATATTTTCACAATGTTATTACAAGAGTAAAATATTTATTGAAAATTTGTTAAGGTTTTTAAATTGTCTGAGAAAGTGGTGTCTAAAACAAAAGACATCATATATAAGAATTTGAAAGGTATTTTTGCCATTGAATTTTATAGAAATTGTAAAGATGATATAACATTTGTTACTGTAATTATTGTATTAAAACTATAAAATGTAATTATTAAAATCATTTTTGACTTACCACATTCTTGATTATTTCACTGTGAAAATTTGAATCTGGAAAAATTTCTAGAATCAGCATATTATTTGTTTTCATATAACATTCCTAAATAATAATTATAAATAATATTTCTAAATAAGAATTTCTGGCCAGCATCATCAAACTTAAACATGAAAAAATGAATTATTAATTTAATCTTTAGCAGAAACTTTTTATCCAGCAAAATTGCAGCAAATAAACATTTTTTGGCCCTCTTGAATATCAAATACAGTTTAATCATATTCTAGAACCTGATGACGGCCAAATGTGTTTGTGCATTCATTTCACAGGATTAAAAGGTTTCTGCTATAGATTAAGCTAAACAATAGTGAAAACTGTAAGGCCCACATATGATATCAATTAATAAAACATTCAGCAAAAACAAAAAAAATAATAGATAAGCATTCTTGCTTATCTATTGATCGACGTGAGGTCCAATATCTTTCACTTTTAATAAAACACACTCATTTTCAAACTCTGTCTATCAGAAAAATATTTTTTAAAGAAATATACGTTTTAATTATCTTACATAAAATAAGATAGAAATTGAATTAGAAATTTTAGATGGAATTCAACAGCTTAATAGATCATAGATAAACATATATTTAAGATCAGTGTCACACCCAGAGAGGGACCAAGGCCAAGGGACCTTGGCACCCAGCAAAGAAAAAAAAAAAAACACTAGAAAATTTTCCAAAAATCTCCTAATTAAAATTAATTTTTGTGTTTATATTGTGTCATGTCTTCTATTTCTATACTACTTTTGAATTATCTATCACATAAGATGGAAATTTTATTGAATTCAATCCAGTGTGTGGCACTGTTAGTCATTAATTATTATTATTGTTTTAGTCCCAAGTTTAACTGAAATTCTTTATTCATAAACATTATAACTCATACCTGGAAACAAACCTTTAAAATGCAGACTTTTTATTTGTTTTTCCAAACGTTTTCAGCCATTTTGAATGGTCTTCCTCGGAAACAGAAAAATTGAATGATTCTGATTTTGCTTTCTAGAACTTTCTTTTGGGTCATTTAAATGTTTTAATTTTCTTATCTAGTGCACAGGCTCATACAAAAAGAATAACAATTTTTCTATTGTTTGTCCCTTTTTTTTCATACTAAACTTATATGCCTGCTCTCCATGCTTCTGAGACTTTACTTGACTCTCTATAGTTTATCACTAATCCTTCCTGGTTTGTCTTATGTATTTGCCATGCTTCGGCATATTTCAGGTATTCCTTGTCCTGAATCTTTTGTATTATTTTAGCTCTTTCCCAATCCACTATGACCTCAATACTTGGGTTTGCTATAATATACATTACTAGTGCTGCTACTGACTACTCATTCTATACATTTCTTTTATGCTCTTTTAGCCTTTCTTTCAACAACCTCCCTGGGGCCAATTTAGTATAGCTCTTTTTGTTGCCTTTTGTCTTGTACTGGTATTCTATAAACTCCTGGTATCAGGTTCTGGTCTATGTATTGCTTGTCTGTATGCAGCATTTGGTATATTGTTGGATTTCTTTTAAAAATTATCTTTTTGTTTGTTGCTGCTCCTATTTCTTTGTAAATTTTGCTTAGGGGTGCCATGTATTCCATCATAGTGTATTCTTCTATTCTTTCCCACTCATTACTTTCATTATCATCTATTCTTCTTTTGTTAATAATGACCTTTATCGTATTCTGGCTGACACTACACTGCTTAGCTAGTTCTTTGATGTGATCTAATTATCTAATTCTGTCTTGAGGTTTGCTGCAGTGCATGCATGCTCTCTTTATAAGTGTCCAGAACACTGCTATTTTATAGCTTGTGAGATCATGGAAGGTCCATGGTATTAATAGCAGGTCATTCGATTTTTCTGTTCTTGAAGAAGACCATTCAAAATGGCCAAAAATATTTGGAAAAGATAGGTTGCATAAAAAGGTTGCATTTTAAAGGTTTTTGTTTCGAGGTATGAGTTATATTTAAGTGCAGTTACAGAAGAGTATAAACATTATATTTTTGTCATTAAAAAAATCTCAAGTAAATATTAATGAAATACAGTTAAGCCTAAATTCAGCACCCTTCTTGTAAAGTGTCAATGAATCTCTCTTTGAAAGGATCTTCCCATTAATAAATCTGAAGAGAAAACCTTTCATTATTTGGTGACACAGTGGAGCCTGATTAACTTGAACTGGGATAACTCAAAGTTGCATTTACTCAAAGTCATTTTCTTTCTCCAGTTGTCTAACATAACTGGTTAACTCAAATTCCTCAAAAATTTTAAACTGAAAGTCCAAACTTTTTTCCCCAACCAATTCAAATTAACTAGGTTTGTTCTGCTGTAATTATTAAATGTTTGATTTTTCAAATGACATTGTTCTCATCAAATCAATTTCTTTTTGAAATTGCCAAACTCAAACTTGTGTTTTGAATCATTGTTATATATAATTTTATTGTTTGGAGTTCTTCAGTTTAGCACAACACCTTGATTCAGTATCAGTTTCATATGCAAAAAATGTTAGCACTATATTGAAATATGATATACTGTATATCAAAAGAAAAGCTATTTATTCATAAAATACAAAATTTTCTTGTAAAATCTGACAAAATATTTCAGTTTTACAGTTTAGATATTTTTAGTTTCTTAAATTTTAATTTATAGTGAATGAATTCATAAAATTCAATAAATACAAATAATTTTAACTTTTATAAAGTAGAGAAGTTGGACATATAGATTAATTAAAAATTTTTAATATAAAACTAGCCATAACCTGTTAAATATGTGGTTTGATCAGAATATGACTTGCCAATAAGTTTGTTATGGTCATTAGAAGTTTGAATTGCATTCACACTGAATAAAATCTCTAAATATTTTCATAAATGCTTTTCATCTCATTTCTTAACTTTACAAAATTCATTTATGAAAGGAATAAAGATTTTTGAAATTATTTTCAAAATTTGAGAAATAAATTTTAAATAAATTCAGAATTTTTATTTTAAATGTTTATAATTTTCATATATTACTTTTCAATATCTCACTGAATATAATGTTCTTAATAGAAAACTTATTTCCATCCATTTTTGTAAATATTCTAATATTTTTAAAAGATTTCACTGTGAACAGAGCTACTTCACAAACTATGTTCACAAATAAATTGTCACAACTGTGCAATGATTGCTTATTTGATCCATTCCTATTATATAAGTATGATAACTGTTGTTAAGAAATTCAGATCTTATATGAATTCTATGATGATGGATAGAGTATATAATATACTAGTTGTAGATTTTTAATTAACTATAATTATTCTAATTACTTTTCAAAATTATTCTATACAAGATGATGAAATCTTTGCTTTAATAAACATATTCATAATTATTACAAAAGTTGCTTCTAGCTCTTGGTATAATTATATTAATTAGATTCATAATATCTAATTGAGATTTCAAACCTTTATAAATATTGAAGATGTACTTTTGTTTATGAAATTCCAAGGAAACAATATAAGTTAAAATAGAATTTCATTTATTCCTCATACATAAACTTATATCTAATATACAAAAAGGGATTTTATGCAATGTCTCACTCATTATCAGATAAATTCTCAATGATGATTATAACATGGATTTTTTCAAACAATTTGATGAAACAAAACAGTATTTACTATAGAATTAACATATAAAATTCATTGTTGCTAATTTTGTTTTTATAGAACAACACTGTATTATATGTTGCCACATTATTCAACAATATAAAATAGATATTGCATATTTTCAGAAACATTTAGAAGAAAAGGTACCATACTGATAAAGCTTCTAAAACTCGTACATGGAGATGGAAATGGGAAATAACAAAAGGCATGCAACCAATATAAGATTGTCAATAATGCTAAAAATATAGTCATTACATTTCCATACTGGCTATCAAGTTAAATTTTTAAATAATTTGATAGCTCTTGAATATTTGCTTACATGTTGATGGAATTATCCAATTTACGTTAATGTAAATTTCATGCAATAATAATTTTTCTAGCTTAGTATGTACAAATCTAACTTATTAAAGCCAAACAAAACCAAATTGTTGGATATTTTACAGGCTAACATTATTCGAAAACTTATTCTGGATCAAACTTTTCTCTAGATATTTCAAATTATTAATCTCAAATGCCAAATTCTTTCATTACTAATTTACAATTAATTATGAACAAACTTAGTATTTAAAATTAATTAAGTAAAAAAATTCTGGAAGTTTTGGTTTCATTTGATTTTAGCTAAGAAATTGGGCTTATGATTATTCTTGTTTATTAATTCATTCAGTTTAATTAACTGACAAAATATAAAAATCTAGGCTAGCTCAACAATAAACATTACAAAATTCAGAAATATCACTATGATCTACAATACCATAATCCATTATATTACATTCTAATTTATTAATATTTACAGATTATAAATTAGGTCTAAAATATGTTTTCACAGTTTCTGGTTTCCCCCCAGTTCACAATTTGAAATGATTCTTTTTAAACAACTAATNAGGCTAACTAAAACGCTTAAATACCGTAACATCGCTAAAGTCGACTCACGTTTCTTATATACCATTTAAGCATAAATCGATTATTAAATTATTCAAGTTTGAAAATCTATTAATCGATTCTCAATAGTAGTCTAATCGAGTTTAAAAAAATAATAATTATTTATTATTTAAAACTCGACCAAACTATAATAAAAACGTTTAAAAATTAATCTATTATATTTAAATACATCAATTGCTAAATGAAATTGTATAATATACTAATGAAAATGGAAAGACTTTCGTAAGGTTGCGTAACATGTGACTACTCGATATCAAAACCGAAACCAAGCTGGAATTAATTCGTCTTTCGTCCGACAGATGGCAGGATAATGAAATGTATTGAAAACAATAGTTCACCTGTTACAGTTTTGTTATCGGAATGAATGAGAACGGAAGCGAAAATATGACTGCAGGTGAGTCAAAGTTGAAAATCGTAAATCAGCCGATAAACCGAATAAGATTCCGTTATGGAACGGAGTGTGACTCGCACGGCGTTTTGAAAGGAAGAAATTCTCACGGAAATTCAAAATCTTATCCGACGGTCCACTTGGAAAATTATTTCGGTAATGAAAACGTACATATTAAAGCGTCATTGTATACAAATACCGATCCGGCTAAACGCCATGTTCATAGATTAATAGGTCCTAACTGTAAAGACGGTGTGTGTACTTTAATATTAGACGAAAACAAAACGGCAGTCTTTCAAAATATCAGCATAGAATGCATTGGAAAAAGAAGAGTGAAAGATGTCATTTATGAACGGAATTTGAAAGAAATGGCATTGGATGTTGAACAAATAAGAGAAATTTCAAAGGAAGAAAGTAAAACGATGGTTTCGCAATTACATGTGGTGAGAATTTGTTTCCAGGCCGGAATCGTAGAAGACGAAAAACCGGGTAAACCGTGGAGGCTCGTTTCTGAAGTTTACTCTGATCCGATAATAAATACTAAAGCGCCGGATAGTAGCGAATTAAAAATTGTGAAAGTAAATAAAAATTCCGGATCCTGTGCGGGAGGTGATGTAATTTTTCTACTGTGTGAAAAAGTTAATAAAAGTGATATTAAAATAAAATTTTTTCAAGAAATCGACGGGGAACGTGTATGGGAAGAAGAAGGTTGCTTTACTGCTACGGATGTTCATCGTCAATATGCGATTGTATTCCGTACTCCGAGTTATCGATCGTCAGATATTGGTTATCCCGTAGAAGTGAAAATGGAATTGTTTAGACCATCGGACGGTGAGACCAGTGAGCCGAAGTTATTTATATATGAACCTTTACAGCAAAATAAAAGAAAAATCCCAGATATCCAAACTGCAAAGGTTTCAAACACATTCAATACAATTTATGAAGAAGATAACAGAAATAATAATTTTGAAGGAGAAACTGCTGAAATATCATTAACTGCTGGCACCTGTAAAACAAATGAAACTACAAAAGAAGAAACATATGTTAAATCTCTACATGATGCAGAAGAAACTACACTACAAGAAGTTGAAGAGGATAATGATGTCAGAAGTATTTTATCAAATACTAATTTTCAACTAAATAATGAAAATACGAGACAAGAATTGCCCAATGTATTAAAAGAAAATTCGGCAGATCCATTTTTAGGTATGATTTGGGACGAAAGCGCAGATGTTTGTAATGTTCCAACCTGTTCAAAATATTTAAGTGATGACAACGATTTGTCCAGATATAATGAAGAATTATTGCCAGATTCAATACATAATAGAATATTAAAAATTAATATCAAAGAAACTTCACCAGAACATAATTATTCTAATTCGTTACACAAGGAATGCTTTCAAGAGGAACTTTTCTTAAAATTTGCTTTAAGGATATTAAAAGTACGCCAATCTTTTTTAATAACAAGAAATATTTATCATCTTTTTTCAGTAATGCATTCAATAATGAAATTTTCAAATAATAAAGGAAATAATATTCTTCATTTGGCAATAATTAATCAAACTAAATATCCAGAACTATTAAACTGCTTATTAAAACTTATTAAAACATTACCCAAGATTTGTGTTAACAGTGTTAATAGCTTTGATCAGACCATATTGCATTTAGCAATTGAAAATAATGAATTTTCATTTATTCATAAAATTCTGGAAGCTGGATGTAATCCAAATCACAGGGATAAAAAAGGAAATACTGCTGTGCATTATACTGTGTTGTATAATGAATCTAACTGTTTAAAAGAACTTATAAAGTTTCAAAGTAAATACAATGTGGATCTTAATGTATTGAACTCAGAAGGACTGTCTCCTCTTCATTTAGCAATGAAGAATGGTAATCTTAGACAAGTTGAAATATTGTGTACTGGAAACATTAATGTTAACATTACTGACAGTGTAAATGGAAAGACAGCATTGCATTATGCTGTTCAGTTTTGTCCCGAAGCCATTAAAGTTTTGCTAAATCATGCTAAAATAATTGTTCATATTAAAGATTCTAATGGGAATACTCCATTTCATCTTGCACATTATCATCAATCACATCTAGCACTATCGCTATTAAACAAACAAAATAAAATGCAGTTGATAAAAAATGTTGGATTTGAATCATCTACATTTTCTGCAGATGATGAAAATACAACCAAATTCATTAATAAGTTTAGGAAAAATTTTAATCCCAAAAATAATGAATCTGCATGTAACAAGAATGCATGGATCGACTATGACTTCGAAAACCGACAGATTGCATTTTTAGAGAATTCCGTTTTTGAAAAAATATGTCAATTATTAGATCCTCCAAAAGAAGGATGGAAAATTTTAGCAGAATTCATAATAGATAAAAAGTATATTGAAACTTTAGGAAAATATGAAAGTCCCACCAAAAATTTATTAAAACTATTCAAAGGAAATCTTCAAGAATTTAGAACTATCATTCATCTTGCTAATTTGGATGAAATTATGGAAATTTTAAAATAAGTTATATTGGGATAATAATGTTTTTATTATATGTCTACTGATTAGCTTCTTATCCCCCTTTTTTTTAATAATTAGTTCTCATACACTGTTATATTCCAGTTATTTTAGGGATTATCACACAAAAAGACTTGAGGCCATTATTTTATTGTAAAACTATCAAGTATAATATACATCAACTCCAACATCTAAAATGCATTTTGGCACTTTTTGTTGTGCTCTTCTCAGATATCTTATTGGAGTTTTACACAATACATTGAGACTCAATACAATATCCTCGCAACAACATCTCTAAAATCATACACTTATTGAATGATGTATGTTGTATGATTTTAGAGATGTTGTTACGAGGATATTGTATTGAGTCTCACTGTATTGTGTAAAGCTCCAATAAGAAATCTAACTGAGAAGAGCACAACAAAAAGTGCCAAAATGCATTTTAGATGTTGGAGTTGATGTATATTATACTTGATAGTTTTATAATAAAATAATGGTGTCAAGTCTCTTTGTGTGATAACCTCTAAAATAACTAGAATATAACAGTACATGAGAACTAATTAATAATGTTTTTATTATATAAATTCCAGAATTTATTTTTGTTTCTGAATAAAAGCTATCATATTATAATAATAATGTAAAGTAAATCTATATTCTTTATCTTAAAAGAAGTTTTTAAAGCAATATAAAAATTAAATCTATATTCAATGATTTTGCTAAATGATAAATGAATGCTTTATTACTGGAAAAATATCTAATTTCATTATTTATTGAACACTTATAAAGTACTCTTAATTTCTAATGCTAATAATAATTTGTGGCTAAATCTTACTTGCAAATAATACTTATTTTCTGATTTATCCACAAATATGTAACAATCATTAATAATTGTATTTACACATACAGGTTATCCAAAAAGTTACTGTGCAGTGGAAAAAGTTTAAGTTTTAATAAAAGTGAAGTTTTATGTATAATATTACTGTTCTCTCAGAGGCCCCAAAATTTGGGGGAGGGAGGCAGTGGGGTCTACATACCTTGCAGGCATCCCATGATCAAAAAATTCTTCCAAAAAACACATCTGTGAGCAAGTAATAATGCCAGCTACCACAAAGTGGAAACATGTGACATAACTTACATAACCTATAGGTCACTTATGCAATACTGTACTGTATGTATAACTTTAATGTCATTACAAATTTCTTACTACATGGTAACTTTTCTGACACCCTGTATATGACTATTTGAAATAACTTGGATTATTATTTATACAGGTATACCTCGCCTTACGTCGGTAATTGGTTCCAGGAAAACGACTTAAGTCGAAAAACGACGTAAGTCGAATTTACTTGTCTCCGAATCTACTTGTCACTAGGAAAAACCATAAATTACTATTCCCAGTTCTGTATTTTATTTATTAATGCATTTTAAATAATATATGGTTAATAAGAATCTATTTTAAGCTTACAAACAAATAAATTTTAGTTTTTAATAGAGTACGGAAATAAGTAATCTAAATTTACGAATGCATGTACTGTAAATACAGTACATACTTGTAAATGTATATATTTTAATATGATTTTATGTGCTTTAAACGCTTTTCTAGTGATATTACGGCTTCAATATTTGTGGCGGACGGATGTAAAGTCGAATAAAATGACTTAAACTTGATTTTTATTTTTCCGTATACTTTTTTGACAAACGACGTATAATCGGGAACGACGTAACTCGAAATGACGTAAGTCGAGGTATACCTGTACTTGCATGTTAAAATGTGTTAAAGTTTATTAATATTCTTTGTTTTATCTTTGTGAACACTTAGAACATCAAATATTTTAATGGCATTTATAGTTATTGAAATACTTTTTTCTAATTTTAAAATCAATGCCTAGGGATGGCCAGTTCCCGAAAGAAATATTGTAGAGAGTTTGACATGTTTGTAGTAATGTTGCAGAGTAAATGAAGACAATCTGTAAATTAGCCTTTAGTCAATTTATCAATCTTTATTTGCAGTTTTTTTTTGTGTGACAAAGTTAATCTTTTTCATAATTATTTATTAACATTTTACTTTCTAGAAAGCTTTCTCCAAGCAATTAAATGTTTTGATTTTATAAAAAGCATTATTTAAAAGCACTGCACCAAAGGCATCCATGAGCTGCATTATAGCCATCCCTAACATTATCTACTATCTGTTATTGTCTTTGTTTTTTTTTTTTTTCAATGAAAAAATGTTCTCCATCATCTTTTTAGTATAAAAGCAATAACAAAATATTCAGAAAATAATTTTAACATGTTGATTTTACAGATATTTTCATCAATAACTTGCATTATTGCTATAATTATACATTGAAATGAGTAACAATGTCAGATTTTGAGAAAATGGTATATAAAATCAAAATAGTTATTTTCAAATGTTTTGTTATTGCTCTTATATTATTAAACAGATAATGATGAATAGTTTTTCCATTGAAAAAAGCAATTACTGAGTGACTTTAAACTTAGAAAAGTATTTTAATAGTCATAAATATTATGAAAATTTAAATTGTTGTTCTAAAAGTTCATTTAAATAAATAATATATTTAGTCAAAAATAAGTATAAATTAATTCAAAATACTTGAAAAACTTACAGAACCAGATCTGTATAACACTCTAGAGGTCTCCAATTTCCAAAAATATTCCAAATGCTGCTTTATCAGAAAATGCAGGCCTAATAACAAACACACTTTTCTTAACTTCCCTAGTAATTTATCTTTCAATCTCTGAAAAGGTCCCTAAAAGTACTGTGGAAGTTCAGTAGGATATTGTGGCAGTACGCCATGTATTTTGTATATAGTTTATATTTTATTTTAATTAGCTTTATTTTTCTTTCTGTGTTCCTTTCTTTTTCCCCCTTTTTTTTTTCTCCTTTCTTCATTGTATGGTCTACTCTCTTCGGAGCATCTCTCCCCGAAATTCCTTTACTTATTGGCTATCAAAAACACCCTAAAACAAGGGGGATGAGGTAAGAGGAGAAGTAAGAGGGACGAGAAGAAGGAGAAGTTCAAGGGAGGAGAGGGAGGAATGAAGGAGAAGGAGCAGGACAGAAGTTTTGGGAGTGTACGTGAGACGAAGGGAGAGTCTGAGAGACGGGCAAAGGAATATCCGTGATAGACCCACGGAAATTAAGGACGAACTTTCGCATCGTGATCACCGACAGTTGTGCGACTCAAAGGAAAGAAGGGATTTCCTTCCAACTTTACATAAGACCCTCACTAAGGACATTGCAAAGAGAAACGATCTTCGAAGGCCTTACATACTAGCATTGGGTACCCCTTTTCTGAGTTCTAACTTTCCTTTGCCTATTCCCTATCTTCTTACCTTAGTTAATATTAGTTTAAGTCTTATTTGTTATTAGTGTTTAAGATAGATTTAGATTTTTGCACGATGATTTTCAATAACGGTTCTTTATGTCGCATCCTATGATTCGGGATTTTGTTTGTGTAACCTTGTTCGCAATTCTGATTGTTTCTAACTGTTGGGACATAAAGTTAGCACTGGCATCCTAAAGAAGCCTGTAGTTAAGCTTCCAACCTTAATTAAAGTTGTCCTTTTTGTCGTACTTTGATTCCACGTGTCTTCCTTAAAGAAGAAAACCACATACTTTCACAATATGTTAATAAAATTGCTTTTTCTGATAAAACAGGATTTTACATATTTCTGTATAATGTATTTAATAAGATTAATTCAGCATTATATTTGTGAAAAATTTAAATTAGTTTATGTAACTTAGAAATTAATATTTCAGTGAATCTAGTTGATAAAAGTTGCTTTTAAATTTTAGATAAGAATCTAAATTAGCAATTAGAAAGAAAAATAAACAAAAATTTTGTTGAAAGTGCTAAGAAATTTTCATTTTGTATGTTCTATGCTTTCAGAGAAATTTTATAGTTTCAGAATCCAATGTAATCTAATCTAAAAGAATTACTTATTGTATTTTATTACTTTAAATTAGGTTCTATTGTTATAAAAATACCTCAAATATAACTAATTAAAAAATATATAATACACTCTTAATATATAAAAATAAGATGAATGAAGAACTAAATATGTTAAAATAATATAATTGAATAATATTTTAAACATTTTATTTCCTAATACACTTACTTTCATGTAATAAATGAACCACATTTTTATATTAAACATTAAAAAACTAATGAAACTTAGATCATGTACTAACTAATTCTTCCAACTTCTTCCCAAGATGTTAATTTGCATTTAGTCAATTTAAATATCAAAATAAAATATTCAGTTTTTAAAATACTTTCATTAAATACAAAATTAATATTTTTATTAGTTTTTATTATATATTATTAGTGAGGTTGAGGCTGAAGTTTTAAATGCAAAAACGTGTACGTCAGACGTTCAGCACCACTTTCCTGTAAGCCTAGAAGTTTGACAATGGTGTTTGGATAGTCAGTGGAATCATGCTTGACGTTCCAAATGCCATTGTCAAACTTCTAGGCTTACAGGAAAGTGGTGCTGAACATCCAACGTACACGTTTTCGTGTTTAAAACTTTGGCTTCAACCTCACTATTAGATGGTTCATTCATTAATGATGTGTTATTTCTGATATATTTGTAATTATATTTTCACAATGTTATTACAAGAGTAAAATATTTATTGAAAATTTGTTAAGGTTTTTAAATTGTCTGAGAAAGTGGTGTCTAAAACAAAAGACATCATATATAAGAATTTGAAAGGTATTTTTGCCATTGAATTTTATAGAAATTGTAAAGATGATATAACATTTGTTACTGTAATTATTGTATTAAAACTATAAAATGTAATTATTAAAATCATTTTTGACTTACCACATTCTTGATTATTTCACTGTGAAAATTTGAATCTGGAAAAATTTCTAGAATCAGCATATTATTTGTTTTCATATAACATTCCTAAATAATAATTATAAATAATATTTCTAAATAAGAATTTCTGGCCAGCATCATCAAACTTAAACATGAAAAAATGAATTATTAATTTAATCTTTAGCAGAAACTTTTTATCCAGCAAAATTGCAGCAAATAAACATTTTTTGGCCCTCTTGAATATCAAATACAGTTTAATCATATTCTAGAACCTGATGACGGCCAA